CAATGAGACTAACAATATTGCTTTAGTAATAAACTTATATTGCTATTGGTTAATGGGGTGGTCAAAATGTTGTTCTTAAGGAAAAAAAGCCTACTTCCAAAAGAAATGTCCAAGACAAGTTCAAAGATATTTCTAAAACGACCCATACACTGCCAAGCATTGTACCTGATAAAGGAGGTACTGAATAAATATTTCTCCAGTGGGTGGTAAAATTTTATAAGTAATCAAAACAGTGAACACAGCTTAACCATATAGGAAGACCCCATGCTCAGAACTTGGTTTCTCTGACACTCATATGCAAACAGACCCTTCACTTCCCAGGTGTGCAAAAGGTTTCTTAGTCTGATTTCCATTAAGGGTAAGAAAGTAATTCATAGGATCATCAAAAAGGTTGTTAATATGGATCATGTGCATTAAACAGCATCCACCACAAGGTAACCAAGCAAGAAAACGTTCCAAGACTTTGATGCTACTGACACATCCTGCTGGGATATTGCATCTTTTACAAAGGAAGGGTGGTTGCAGTCCTGCTCAAGCAAGTCACTAGGGACCTTCTTAACCAAGTGTGTGCTCACTTTGTCACATTCTAGTGATTCTGCTTCACACTTTGTCATTAGTGTACCTGTGATCTGTGACCTGTGATCAGCGATCTGCTATTCCTACTGTAATTGTCAGGGAGCACCAGAGCCCACTCAAGGCAGCGAAGTGATAAATGTCTGTTCTGCAAGGTAAGTTTTCCCCTGCCCCACCCCCTATTCCGGAACTTTTCCATTCCCTAAGACACAGTACTACTTAGGCCAATTAATAATCCTACAACAGCTTTTTAGGCCAATGAATAATCTTACAATGGCCTTTTAAGTGTTCAAGTGAAAAACTCGTATCTCACTTTTCAACTGTTAGAAATGATTAAGCTAAGTGAGGAAAACATGTCAGTAGCTAGAAAGACCAAAAGTTAGGCTGGGCCAATAAGTTGTGTAAAGAAATGCAAAGGAAAACTTGAGAAAGTGTTACTCCAGTAAATACACAAAGCAAGCAAACAAAACTTATTGCTGACATGAAGAATATCTGAATGGTCTGCAGAGGTCAAACCAGCAACATTCCCTAGAAAGTTGAGAGCTGAAGAAAAATTTGGAGCTATTGGAGACTGGTTCATGAAATTTAAAGAATGGAGCCATCTGTCTCTATAACATGAAAGTACATGGTAAAACAGCAAATGTTGAAGCCTCAAGGTATCCCAAAGACCTAGCTGAAAGTGGCTATAAAAATAATAGATTTTAGGGCCCTCCCTTGTAGCACAACGGGTTGAAGCACAGCACTAAGAAGCTTAAGCCACTTCCGCATGAGTTCAATTCCCACCTGCCCCGGAGGAGATCCACATGGCGTGACCTCTCCTGACCCACCTGCTGCTCCCCTCAGCAGTGTACTTCGTCGATCTGCCTGTTCTGCTCCCCACTCTGTCTCTGGTGAATCCTCTCACCCTTCGCATCTCTGGCCTGTACCCCAGTTCTATATGAATAAATAATTCTTAAAATAATAATAATAATAGATTTTAATACAAACAAAACAGCCTATTAGAGATAGATTCCATCTAGGATGCTTCAAACTAGTCTAACAAGATGATTCTAACTGGTTTAACAGGACCAGTTAATATCTTGTTTCAAAGCTTCAAAGGACAAGCTGACTCCCTTAAGGGTCTACTAATGCAGCTGGTGATTTTCAGTTGAAGACAACATTCATTTACCATCTGAAGGCCCTTAAAAAATCATGCTGAATCAACTGGCCTATGTTCTATAAATGGGAAAACAGTCTGTATTGACAGCATATGCATAACATGGTTTACTCAGTATTTTAAACCCACTGAGACCTGTTGCTCAGAAATTTCCTTTCATAGACTACCGCACATCAACAAAGTCAAGAGCTCTGTGTGTACAGAGGTCCATGTTTCTATGCCCACTAATACAACATGTATTCTGCAGCCTCTGGATGGGAGTAATTTTGCCTTCGAGTCATAAGAAACATTTTGCAGGCCCTCCATGGTGATACAACAGGTTAAAGCACAACACTACAGAGATCCGCAGCCACTGCAGCACGAGTTTGATTCCCAGTCAGGGAACTGACCCACATGGCATGGCAGACCTCTCCTGACCCACCCACTGCTCTCCTCAGCAGTGTATTTCAGTACATCTACCTGTTCGGTGCATCTACCTGTTCTCTCTGGTGCATTCTCTCACTCCCTGTACCTCTGGCTTGTACCCCATTTCTTATATGCATAAATAAATCTTTAAAAAAAATATTTTGTAAGGCTGTAGCTGCCAGATAATCATTCACAATGAATCTGGGCAGTCAATGAAAAACCCGGAAAGAAGTTGGTATATCACTGATAGGTGCCAGCAAGAACATTTGTGAGGTTAAAAGTAACCTTAACAGAACTTTGGAAGAAACTGATTGTAACACACATGGGTGGATGACTCTGAAGGGTTCAAAACTTCAGTGGAGAAGGTAACAGTAGACCTGGTGAAACTAGCAAGTGAATTTAAATGGAGCATGATGATGTGAATGAATTGCTGCAATGTCATGACAAAACTCTTAACAGATGAGTTACTTCTTACAGTTGAGTAAAAAGAGTGGTTAAGATGGAATCTACTACTTTTTTTAGACTTTTTATGTATGCTTACAAGACTTTTTATGTATGCTTATGTATCTCTGGGGTACAGAGATGCAGTGGGTGAGAGGATTCACCAAATACAGAGTGAAATACACTGCTGAGGGCAGCAGCAGGGAGACAGGAGGGGTCTGTTGTACCCTGTGAGTCAACTTCCTGGCCTGGGGTTGAATTCTGTGCTGCAGTGGCTTCATAGTGCTGAGACTTAATCCCTTGTGCCATCAGGGAGGGCCCACAGAATCTACTCTTGAAGATACTGTGAACATTATTGAAATGACAGAGGACTTTCAAAGTATATAAACTCGGGCCCTCCCTGGTGGTGCACCAGGATAAAGCACAGCATTATGAAGTTGTCCTAAGCCACTGCAGCATGAGTTCAATTCCCAGCCAGGAAGGTGACCCACATGACGCAACAGACCTCTCCTGTCTTGCCTACTGCTCCTTTCAGTAGTGTATTTCAGTCATTCCGCCTGTGCTGTTCCCCACTGTCTCTGGTGAATCATCTCACCTCACACATCTGTGGCCTGAACCCCAGTTTTTATACGTATAATTTTTTTTTAAAAAATGAAGTATTATATAAACTCAGCACTGCATGCTACAAACAATAGCTTTCTCTTGTGAAAGCAGTCTTTAAGATACTGCCACAGCCACCCCACCATCACCTTGGTTAGTCAGCAGCCATGAGCATTAAGGCAACACCTTCTACCAGCAGATTACGACTCACTGAAAGCTCAAACGATAGCATGGTTTTAGCAAGAGTATTTTAAATTAAGAAATGCAGTGATTTTATATGCTCTGGGACAGCAAAGAGTTTGCTACACGCACTTCGTCATAGTATGTGCTTTATTACAGCACTTACGAGAACTGAACCCACAATAAGGTGAAGTGCCCCTGTATTTGCTAATTAATCTTAGTGTGTAATTTAAATTTTTGAATCACTAATTTATATATAAAATAACCTCTGGAGATATGAATGAAGAAACAAAGGCACCTTCATTTTGTAAGCACATCACATCTTTGCTTAGCCTCAAAGCAAGACTAAGGGGAATATCAAAAAAGAGTATTAAGACAGTAAAACTAGGAGGGGGATTAAGGAAACTGGAAATTGAAAAGTAGTTACTATATTGCAAAGGGTGAAAGAAATTCTCTGAGCACTTCCCTGTGTTATTCTTCAAGGATAGTCTCCTGCTTACCTAGGAACCTAGGAGGTAACTATATAATTAGATGCAAAACAAAGTAATAGACTGAAACAAGAACTAAAATCCAACAATTCAGAAATAACACACAAAAATGTTATCTGGAAGTCTTGGTTTGTGCTATCTATAAAGCATTTATTGCAATGACAAAACTAGAGGTTAATTACTTTTTTATTATTGAATTATATTGTAAAGTCTACATCTACAACTTAATCTGGAAGAAATGCTTTGCATTTACACCAAGGACACATTTATTCTAGTGGAATAAAACAGACACAGACAAAAGACCAAGTACACATTAAAAAAAAACAAAACAAAAAAAAAAACAAACTACATATTTAACCCGGTCTCACTTTTGCTATTTTGAAGCATACCTTTCCTATAAGAAAACTGATTTTCACATACATATTAAGTCTGATTTATTTGCCCACATTTTAAAACACGAAATGCTCTTCTTACAATTTCTAGTTATAAACAAAAGATTGAAAATATACGGGAAACAAAGTTTAAGACCAAAGAAAATAGACTGGTTCTATCTTATATTGGGAAAAGCTGAGTAAAACGTGGCCCCTCTGTGGCTCATCTCAAAGAAACACTTTTACTCAGAGAGGCAGGCACTTCTGATCCTAGAGTAAGTTTCCACTCCCCCTGCAGAACCAGACCGCCAAATGTTTCTGGTCAATTGCAAAGCACATGAATAATGTCTTCAAAATATCTAAAAATGAAATATCAGATAGGGGCTAAAATTCAAATAAAAACTGTATGGTCTAAATATACATTTCAGATTGTTTTTTAATTGTTTAAAAAATTATCTTTTTATTTCAGTTGATATTTAAAAATAACTTATATTTTAGTGTGCTTTCTGGTCAATGACTGTAAAGTTGAAATTCAAACATATACATTTAAAATCTTTGTTTTACTTAATTATATTGAAATTTCAATTACCTACTACTTTATTTAACCAAGTTTTACATGAGGTAAGATTCAGCTTTTAAAAAAAAAAAACCCACAAAGTTAACCACTTGAAGAGTAGACAAAAATCATAATGCCCACCTCATATTGAATCTATAAATTTATGTATTACCTACTGTGTATCCACAAGTTTATTATGCAATTAAAAGCAAATACCTTTTGCGCTTTTAAATCAAATTTTGTTGGGAAATATAGGGCAAAAAAACTTGGCAAAATTTGTTTTTGGTAACAGAAGACAATGAAATAATGAATCCAAATGGAACCAAGACCAGTGTTAAAAGTTGCTAACTTACTTCTAAACACACACACACTTATCCAAACAATATTTTTGGTAGCAAACTCAATTGACAGAATAAATGTTTTGTTGTAAATAAAAAGTAAAGTTTTCAATAGTCTGTTAACTAGCTAAACAGTTTAAATAAACATGTACAGCCAGTTTTCAGCTCTAGCCATGTATATGTTACACTAAAATATCCCTGCTAAAAATCAACTGTATTTAATTGGATTTTACTGAAGTAGGACATTCATGATACTAGAAATCTTTTAAAAAGGGAGTATAACAGGGCTACAATATTACTATTAGTAAAAGTTACAGAAGAGATTATTGCTGTACTTTTTCCCATGTTAACACCATCAAATTTTGTTACAGTTACAAAAAGTACAACCCTAAGTTACTTCTCTTACTGAATTTCATATTTCACATATCTTTAAAATTTTTTATTCAGCAGAGAATAAATCTTCAAATCTTTTCTGTAAGAGTTCAAAGTATTTAAATGTGAAGCTTCACATTATACTAGCATGTTTTGCCCTTGTTTCCCAAATACACAAAACAATATACATTTTTCTCAAAAATGAAATAAGATGTCTGCATTAAAAAAATAAAGCCTACAAAAAAGTTCCAGAGCTAAAAAAGATTATTCATATGGCACGCAGTGATCTCCTACTAGTCCAAAGTCCAAAACATTGAAATGAAGTCCATTTATGTATCTTGTTTGCTTTTCAATGGAATACTACATTTATTGAGGTGAAATCACATTACTATTTAGTTCTTGAGTCAACAAATGTACACAAATGTTTTTTGTTGTTTCTGTTTATACAGTTATTAAAAAATAGGAGACCAAGTTGAGTGTGCCAAGTTATCATTCAGTTGGGAGTTTTAGGCTCATCAGGAAGAAATTTAGAAAATGGATTTCCTTGGTTGGTTTCCATAGCTTGATAGACCAAAAACAAAAAACCGGTCACAACAACAAAGAGCAAAATTTTTATCCACATGGGAATGGAGCGTCCCTTTTTTGTCTTTTCTGACTTGACATCTGCCAAGGGAACATACTTAGGAGCATATTTGGATGAGAAGGGTTCCTCCATCCTGAAATCACTGAGTTCCAACGGTCGGCCTGCTGCTCCTTTGATTGGTCTGCGGCAACTAGCACTATTGGGAAGGAAAGAGTGTAGAGAGGGAAATTTTACATAAGGTCATGACTTAGATAAATAATATGTCGTTACCATTCCTAATTCCAACCATATTAATATGTGAAATATTTATATGCTTTTCATATAAAAAGCCAGATACTTATCTTTTATTAAATAAGAATACCCGGGATATTGATAAAAATTCACTAAATTTCCTTAAAAAGCTTTTCAGAGAATACTTTTGGAGGTAAGTGGGTTAAAAAACAAGGTAGTCGGCTGTGATCTTGTCAGTTGAAAATTCAACAAACAATTTCTTCTCTGGTAAAAGGAAACTCAAGGAAAATATTACTTCCTTTTTACTGCTGTTTCTATTCATATTTAAAATTATTAATTAAATCATAGGTAAATGATCTATTTACTATCCCTAAACTTAAAGTCAGTTTTGAAACTAAAGGCTACAAAGCTCCCCAAAGAACAGCTTAATTCTGAGAGCAGAATACAATAACTTTGTGAAGAATTAAAAATAAAATTCCTGCTTACATATTTAACCATACCTTAAATACACATGATTTTTATTTGCCAATGATCCCTCAATAAAGGTGGGAATAAATACATAAAACTTCTGTACTAGAATACATAACACATTTCAATGTATCTGAATACCTAATTCCTGTTGGTGTAGATGCTTCAAAGGGAAACATTTCCTTAAGAATATCTCTCTCTATTCTTCTTTCCTCTGTTTTTTCTCCCACCTAATTGAGAGAAACAATCACAAGGTAAGATATGCAATAATTAAAACATAATATCAAAACAGAATCTTAGGAGAACAAAATGCACTTAAATCTATGCTGGCTTTTACAACTGCCATTTCTAAATTCAGTACTGTCTTAACTATTCACAAATTCCTAAGACTCTTTAAATTTCTTCAAGAAGATATTCTTAATATGGCAACTGGGGAGAAAAATCGCCATGCATTTAAATAAGGAAAAAAAATTACTAAAACAAATTCATTAATAGCTGATATGGCAGTTTAAGTTCCATCATGAATTTCCTATGCTTTTCATCAATAAATATTAAGAGTATGATTTCTTTCCATTATTAATTTTGTAACAAAATAATCAAATATAGAAAATGAAGTAACAGATCTTCAACAAATTTTACTATGTTTTAACTAGTCAATTTAATCATACTAACTTTATAGACTATAAAATAATTTAACAACCTGATTGTTTTACTGTTTACCTTTATGCCCAGCCTTTGATAAAGACTCACTAAAACGCCATCATGCAGTTAGTATCTTAAAGCTTAACAATACAGGAGTTAATCAAGCGGCACACAAAGTCACGCTGAAGTCCCATTACGTGACCCATCAAAGGGAAGCGTGCCTCCCTCGCTGCCCCAGGATGCTATCACCTTGCATCCGTGAGGAAGAAACATATTTACAAGCAGCACATAAATGACCACGCCCTTGAAAACTAGAACTTAGGAGGCACACAGGAGCAAGAGAGGGTTAGCATGTCTTACTGTATTAGTTACTTTCCATTTTCACTTACAGAAGTATGTCTTTAAGACACTATATATATATATGCGTGTGCACACACTCTCACCACATACACACCAGGAAGAAAAGTTCTGCTCCCTCCCACTCCAAAAGAAAAAAATCCTCTTTAAAAGATCAATGATAGCATCGATCTAAATTTTATTCATTTACTTCAGCTCTTGTCAATGGTTTCTTTGGTGTTCTTCTGGGTATGTCTGAGAATTCAGTGATTGGCAGAATGGGAGCTGCATGCTTGAAATTTCCAGTCACCCTATTGACAACCTGCCAAGATTCAAATTATTCAGACTCAGAATTATCCAAATATAACAAAGACATGTAAAAAGATACTCTATTCCTGTAATACTTAAAACCTTCCCTTAATAAAAATCAGGTAACAGACCCTAGAAACAAACATATTTAGAGCTTCACTTGTGATCCTTACCATCATTTATATTTTAGCCAAAAGGCATTCTTATCACACCTAGCACTCTTGTACAATTAGTTAATATATATGTGTTTATTTGGATATATTGAAACTTCTAAATCTCAGAAAATAAGGGGAAAAATCAGTCAGAAATGCTTAAAAACATAAATTTGAGACTTGCCAAAATTTACCACCTCCCCAATTCTAATTACAGGGCAATTTACAAAGAATCCCACTTGTACAGTTATGAAACATATTTACTAAGGTTTCGTTGCTTGAAGCCTTTATAGTTTCAGCTATGGGAGTACTCTCTGAAATTACTGCACCAGCTATACGAAAATGTTCTGAAGTTTCCACCTGTTAGTTTGAAAACAAAACAAAAACAATAAATATAAAATAATCACTAAATCCCTGCCAACCTGAAACCCCAATTCTAAGCAATAAGCCTTGCATCACCCTTTTCCTTGGAGTTCTTCTTGCCCCTCTGGTAGACTCCCTAGTTAATGCCTGCAGAGGTCCGCCTTTTGAAGATCCACTTGTCCATTCAGTCTCAGTTATTCCAGCTTGAGAATAGCTCTATTCAAGCATCGACACATAAAAAAGTCACATTCTAACATCAGACACCTTACAATGCCCACATTAGCCAGGAAGAGTCTCCAAAAGCCAGCATTTGCAAATAATAACGTGTCCTCAAGAATATTTTTTAATGTTTTAATTGTACTTATATATAGGAATCAGAAATACTTAAGTATAATGAAACACTAAATAGTCCAGCTACAGTGGTACAAGTATATAAGGGGGCAGGAGCACCTGAATTTATAACTGCCTCCTTCTGTGATGTGCTATTGTACTGTTTCACTAATCACAGCTACATCTTTTGGCTACTGAAACAAAAAGCAGGCTCATCATCACTTCTAAATCATCTGCTGCAACTCAGTTTCCTTTAATACAAAACACAAACTTATAATTGCTAGCAAAGATTACATATTATTCCCTCCACATAGCTAGAATTGGTTTAAATTATAATCCATACACAGCTATCTGAACTTAAAAATTCTACCTGAACATAAAACAAATCTCAGTACTAAAAAAGAACTTAACAAATAAAACCTTTTAAGAAATATCAATAAAAACCTGGTGGTTACTCTTCTCACAAACATACAAAAGCTAAACTGCCCCCCCAAAGTCTCAGTACTAGCCCCCAACCACTCAGGTCAGAGAAAGGGAATAGAGATAGACCATCTTCCCTTCCTATCCCAGTTTCATAGCTTTGGCAAAGTGATCTTTTATTCATTTAACAAATAATTAGCAGTGCTTCACACTAGTTTGAAACCCAAATAGTAATACTGCCCATCAATCACCCATGGCTTTTGTTAAAATGCAGATTCTTTTTCTATAGCATTTAGGTGAGATCTGCAAGTCGACATTCCAAGTGGCAAGTTATTCAATTGAAGTTACTATTACTAGAGAATTCTTTAAAATTCTTTTTTTTTTTAAAGATGTATTTATTTGTGCATACAGAACTGGGGTACAGGCCAGAGGCTCAGGGGTGGTGAGAGGCTTCACCAGAGACAGAGTGGAGAATAGAACAGGCAGATCGACGAAGTACACTATTGAGGGGAGCAGTGGGCGGGTCAGGAGAGGTCTGCCACGCCATGTGGTCACCTCTGGGGCAGGCAGGAATGGAACTCATGCGGAAGTGGCTTTAGATTCTCAGTGCTGTGCTTTAACCCGCTGTGCTACCAGGGAGGGCCTCTTTAAAATTCTTTTAACCACTATCAGTAGTATATTAGAATGTGCTTATGGTATCAATTTTGCTTTCAAGATAGTATTTTATCCAAGTAACTCATTTTTGATATCCCAGTCAGTGTTCATTTGGAAATGACAGTTTAAGAGTCTTCTTTTTGTCTGAAATCCTGCTATTGGAAAATATATGCTGAAGGTTAAGTTTATTGTTAGTTAAAAGATACATCTAGGGCCCTCCCTGGTGGTGCAGCGGGTTAAAGCACAGCACTGAGAAGCAAAAACCGCTTCGGCAAGAGTTCGATCCCCGCCTGCCCCGGAGGTTACCACAGGGCGCGGCAGACCTCTCCTGCCCCGCCCGCTGCTCCCCTCAGCAGTGTGCTTCGTCGATCTGCCTGTTCTGCTCCCCACTCACCGCCCCTCTGAGCCTCTGGACTGTACCCCAGTTCTGTATGTACAAATAAATAAATCTTTAAAAAAAAAAAAAGATGCATCTATAAACACGTTACACAAACAGGTAACAAAAGCTTATTAATAGTTGGAACCCTGACTATTTGAATAGAAGGGAACAATAGTTTTAACCTGAGGTTCTCAATTCCAAGGCATAGATTAACTGCGGAATTTTTAAAAATTAGCTAATGTTCCCAATCGATGTTAGTCCAAGTAAATCAGGTATCTTCTAGAAAAGTCTGGGCTTAGTTAATCTTTATAACGCTTGAGATAACTCTAATGTAAGCCAAGGTTGAGAACAAGTAGTTTAAGATAAAACAACTGACTTCTCATGCAACTTGAAGATTTTTTTAAAATTATTTTCAACATTGCTTTCTAATAAATAATTGCTCAATGCCAAAAAATTTTAAAATAATGAATTGCTTAAAAGATATTCTAGTCTATCAGTATACCTCGTATTTTCTGTTTAAACTCAATATTTTAAACCTTTCAAAAAATTCAAACTGAATTATCTGAATGCAACACAATATAATGACCAGATTATTTTGTGTACATCCTCAAAGGCAAAGGGGGTGGATAGCTTTTCCTCCCTTACAACTGGCTATACTGACCAAATTCTATGAATACCTTTGCTTTATTCTGAATAACTGCAACAATTTCTTCATCAAATTTTACAAGATAACCCTCATTTATTCAAACTATGTCAATAAAAATATCTGCATTTTTAGTTATCCTTGATGTTAAAGGTAGGATCTACTTATTTTCTACCATGGAAGGAAACACAAAAAACTCATTGGTTACCCATGGGAAAAACAGACCAAAAGAGGGAAGGAAACTTTTTACTATGAATATTAACTCTTTCTATTGTTCAGATTTATTAAGTTGTTTGGGTGAGCACCGTCAGCCAATTTTACTAGTTTCCTGGCTATCATTACCTAGTATAGAATTAATTATCACAGAAAACTGACAACTCTCATAGATCTTGTAAAGATATTCTGAAGATTAAAAGGAAATTTTAATTAGAATTTGTTATAAACAAATAACTGTGAAAATAGAAACAGAAATAATAAAATTATAACTCAATGCTAAAATTACTTAACGATTGAAAGAAACTCTCATATTGTCTTCAGATGCTGCAGGTAAGAAGTAAATCAGAAGTCAGACAATTGAGGTATATGGGAATGTTTGAGGTACATGGGAATACAAGAACCAGACTATTAAAGGCAAAAATCCCAGCAAAAACATTAAGTTCTGGACAAAAAATTTACACTAAGCTATTTTATGAAAAGAATTAATAGAGGGATGTAAAAATTCACCTTACTCTGAGTAACTATCAATTTGGATAAAACCTAATCGATATGGTTAATCATATTAATGCAATTTTAAAACACCACTATATACCTTATTTAAGGAAGGTATTGGTATACATTGCTGGTGGATATGAAAATGTCTCCACTGTTATGGAAGGGTATTTGTAACATTTAGTAAAATTTCTCAAAGATAAACTGGTTGCAATATTAAATAACACAGGTAAAAGACCAATTACCCTGCATTATTAAAAATAGCCTATAAAAGGAAACTAACCCAAGTAGCCACCAAATGAAAAGTGGCTGAATTAATTCCATGAAACATTAACATTATGAAATTACAAAGCAATGAAGAAATGATGGACTACACTGTCTTCTTTGCCAGTATATGTTCTTAGAATAAAAACAGACTACCTTTATTAAATCTATGCATTTACTTCTCCTTTCAACAAGAAACAGCATATAAACCAAAGTCTGATTTAGAAGTTACCCATGAATGGAAGGAATAAAAATAGAAGAGCAAGAATGACTCTTATTCTGTCAAAGAAAACTAGGTAACCTAAATAAAAGGTAAAATTGAGAGAATAAATTTTTTCAAATGGCTTGATACATAACATTATGATCTTAAATCTTTTTTCCCTAAGAACTGGGGTGCAGATGGGGGGGGGGCGGCGGCAAGGGTGAAAGAATTCACCAAAGACAGAGTAGAGAGAGGAAAAGGCAGACTGGCTGAAATATACTGCTGAGGAGATGAGGAGAGCC